TTTTAAACTACAAGAAAGTTTGTGTGACGTGTGATTCGAACCCATGACTTCCTCGATCAGTGTAAGCCGACATAAAAAACCGGCCACGACAGCTTGTGTTATTATTTACATCTTTTTTCCTATTTAAGCCTTTTCTTTATTTCCCAGTTCCTTTTTCTTTATTTCAAAATGTGTGAACTTTTTTATCAAAATGTATGGAGTTTATTTCAAATTGATGAGCTTTTCTTTAAATTGACGATTTTCTTTTCAAAAACCTTTCTTAAATTTGATGAACTTTTTGAACATTGATGGTTTTTTTTATTTGATGACCTTTTTTAAAATTGGATAAACTTTTTCAGAATCGATGAACTTTTTCAAATTTGATGACCCTTTTTCAATTTTTATGAACTTTTATAGAAAATTGATGAACTTATTTTCAAAATAGAGGAACTTTTCATGAATGTTGTGAAATTTTCTTAAAAATGATGACCTTTTTCCAGATGGATGAACTTTTTTCCAAAATCAATGAAATTTTCTTCAAATGGATGAATTGTTTTATAAAATCCATAAAATGTTTTTTATTTCACATTTTTTTCATAAGTATTGAAAAAACAGGCAATTTTTTTCTACCAGATCAACAACACAAAAATGAAAAACTAGGTTATTTACCAAGAGAGCGAAGCTAGCGGGGCATGGGAGCGAACTCTGGTGGGCCGCGGCCCCCTTGGGGTGTGCTTGAGCACCGACACACATTTCTGGCGCTGAAGGTGCCCTATAGGCCCTCGCAAAAAAAAGAAGGTATCCTATAGGAGCACCCCTTATTTGATTGGCCTAGTTCAGTCAATGATTGTTGGGTGTAGTTGGGTTGGGTTTGTTTGATAGTAGTTGTGCAGGGCATAAAAACAGAGAAAAGGACAATACATGTCATTGTGGAAAGAGAATATTAACGGGTCTAAAAAGGCCAACTAGTGGAAGGAGAATTGGGCCACCAAGGCCCAATAGGGGAGGCACCCCTTTTCCCTTGGTGGGAGGCCCAATTGGAGAGGGGGGGGGGGGGGACTCCTTCCCCCCTTGGCTGGCGCAAGGGGAGGAGAGTCCTCCCCGCTCCCCTTGTGGCGTCCCTCCTCTCCTCTAACCTACATATAGTAGAGGTTCTCGACACTTTTGGATACATAAATTTTGGAGCCTCCTCTAGTCATAGTTCTAATTAATCTAATTAGGACTAGACCTAGATCCTCTAATATTCATAATTAGAAGCCAATTGTGGTTCTAATCTCCTTCCTCTAATTCTCTAGCGACGATTAGCTCTGGACAGCGAAGCGCTGCCTGATCGTGAAGACCATACGCTTGCAACTAAATAGAGAGGTCGTGCTTTTGGTCTTCCATTCGAGGGATCGTTCATCTATGGTTCGAGGGACTCCAAGTATGATCTACACCAACTCGTCTAGTTCTGCTACTACTCGAAGTCGGTAACGATCGTTATCCTAACCGTTAATGCATCTTCATATTGTTCCTGGGTGATCGTAAGACGAATTTTTTGTTTTCCACTATCCCAACAAAATGCAGGTTTGCCCTTCTCAGTTTATAGACAATATTTCTGGCGTTATAAATTTTAAGTTGTTATTTTCCCCTAATCCTGGTTTGTCAGGGGGTATTTGTTGGGTATGTATGTTGATTTCTTGTCATATTTTGGAGGAGGATATAGGCAATTTTATGTTAGAGCCTTGGTCATGTCTAAAATACTAGTGAGTTGTGTACTTTTATGTCTGTGTATGGTGTTGCCCAGCCTAGAAATAAAGACATTTTTCTTAATAGAACTGGTCCATGTGCTTAACAGTAGAACCTTACGTTATGTGGTCGGGTGATTTTAATATCAATAGAAAAATTAGTGAGAGTGGCAGGAGGAAAAACTTTCTTAATTGTCTAATACAGAATAATGAGTTGAACGAGTTAGAGTTAGATGGTAGATGTTTCACTTAGTCTATTATCAGGAGAATCCCATTATGGAAAAATAACATGGGACATTAATTTCTATAGAATGGGGAATTTAATTTCCTATGGTATTTGTTAAGACCTTGCCTACAATTTTGTCAGATCATACTCATTTGGTCATGGATGTTAATACCACAAAAGTGCAGAAAAATAATATTTTTCTTGTTGGAATTACGTTGGTTTTAGGCCTAATGTAGATGAAATTGTGATTAAATGTTGGAATACCATTTTTTTGGCAGTACTAGATGGATAAATAGCAGAACAAGAATAGAAATCTTAGGTGGGTGTTGAGAGGGTCGAATATATTAGAGGTAATATCACCAGGAGTCATAAAACTTGCGCTCAATGTTCAGTTTGATGCTAAAACTTTAAAAATACGGATTTATGGTCACATAACTTGTCCCCGCGTGCATATACGGTGCTTCCTCTCGTATCCAGCCACATGGCCTGTCAACATGGCGTGCCAGCCCGGTGAAGGCCCACTTGTCAGTGGTTGGGAATGCACAAGGCACTAGGTGACCATAGCACGCTGGATTTTTTACAGAGAACTCCCTCACAATTTATTTAATGCGCACAAAGCCCTCAAATATAATGAAAAAAGATGGCACACATGGGGTTCAGACACGGGACCTGTCAATAAAATAGTCCGCCATACATCATTCCATCAGTGCCGATTGACGTTCAACATGATCAACTAAAATTCGTTTAATCACAAACAGAAGCCCCAACGCGAATTGAGTGACAAAAAAGGGTGGCCCAGCAGATTCAATCTCTCAACCTCAAGCATGGACACACTGCAGCTAAACGCTACACTAAGTACCAACCAATGCCTGTAAAGAGAGAAGCCCGATTTTATATATTGTCCACGACCACTACTCGTATTCAGGTTCTTTTTCTCTCAGACCGAATTTTCGACAACTGATCAGTCCCCAGAAAATTTGGCGGTCCCCCGAAAAAATGTTGTCGCCCAAAGTTTTGAATTTAAACAACAAAAACAATGTCAAATATAATAACTTTTGTGTGCATACAATATCATAATGGCATAGTTAACTTAGTGGCAGGGGCCGCGATTCTATTCCTTGTATTGTGAAATATTTTTTTCTTTATTCATGCTCATTTATAAAAATGGTCTCGAACTATAACAATGAATTGAACATGCAAACTTCTATATAAGAGAGGAGTTGAGCTGACCACTGTAACATGCGTCACTTTCTTTTTGCTAAATTAAATATATTTAGACGATAAAAAGAATTGAATTCAAAATTCATTTCAAAATTTTGGTAGATAAAAACTGGAATTGGCAAGATATTTTGAAACCCGGATTTTTTCCAACCCTCTCGAAAAAATGGAACAAAAAATTCTCGCTCATGACAAAGTTTTGTACGGTATGGATTAAACATTATACATTTTGAAACAGTTTTCTTAATTGCTTTTTGGTGAAAAAAGGTGAGATTTTCCGGTATCCAGTTTTTACTAGCCGAACGTGGGAAAAACAGAATCTAGGAAGAACTGCGTCTAATATAAAATCAGGTTTACCTCTTTACAGTAAGGAATATGTAGTTGGTGTAGTGGTTTGCTTGTGCATGGATGTACCCCAGGTGTATGGAGTTAAAATCCCTGTGCGTGTACTTTTTATTTTCATTTTTCACACCACCTCATGCTGACAAGTGGGACACACAGAGGGGATTATGCTCAATTAAATTAATTAAATACAAGCAAGGGTGCTTCTGCAAAGAAAAAATGCGTCGACCTGTTTCGGTCACTAACAATGGGCCGTAGCCACGCTGGGGTGCCACGTAAGCGCGTGATACGTCTGAGTATGACCAAAGTGACCGTATTTGCACAAGAACGCAAATTGAATGACCACAAATCCATATTTTTAAAGTTTTAGCACCAAACTGAACATCGAACACAAGTTCTATGACTTCCAATGATATTACCTCAATATATTATGAGAGGAAGGGAGTAGCCAGGGCCAAAGGGTACCTTAACAGCCATGAATTTGCAGCCCTAACTGATATGGACACCGAAGTAGTTCCCGTAATAACCAACTAACTGATGTGCCCGCAGAGAAGCATGTGGAAATTTCGTGACCCGAATCCGGGTAGGATGCGATCGACACAAAGCGGTGGAAATAGTCGGCCTCTCCACGTTTCCACCACATCCATTGCCGCGACGGCGACGCAAACCCAAAACGTGTGCTGTGCTTTTCAATCCACCGCACCCAGCCCTGCCCCCCGATCAATCTGCGGTTGTCAACGCTCATCGGGAGTACATATATACCTGCCGTGCGCCACCGCTTTCTTCCCTAGCTACTCCAGTTCGCTTTCTCCCAAAGTATTCTTTTCTTCGCACAGAGCGAGACAGAAAGAGAGGCCGAGATGAAGCTGGTGTGGTGCCCGGAGACCGCGTCCCAGGCCTTCATCGCCGGCGTCAGCGCGCTGTCAGACTCCGAGCACGGCCCCGCGGGGTCGGCGGGCGTCGCCGAGCTCGTCTCCGCCATGGTCGGGGGATGGAACGCGCAGCTCGTCGCCGAGGCGCCGGAGGTCTCGGCTCCCGACTCGGCCACCACGAGCCTCGCCCTCGCCGCCGCCGCCGGGCGCACGGGAGGCCGCTACGCCCGCGTGCTGCCGGACGAGGACGCGGACCGGTCCATGGCGGAGCTGGAGGGCGTGGACTTCTTGGTGGTCGACGCTCGGAGGCGGGACGGGGCGGCCGTGCTGGCGGCGGCCAGGCCTGGGCCGAGAGGGATGGTGGTGGTGCGCCACGGCGACGGGAGGCGGCCTGGCACGAAGGCGCTCGAAGCGTCCATGGCGGCAGGCACGAGGGTAGTGCGGTCCGTGTACCTGCCGGTCGACAAGGGCGTCGAGGTCCTCCACGTCGGCGTAGGCAAGGGGCCGAGCCTACAGTGCCGGCGCAGCCGGAGCGCGTCGAGCCGTTGGATCCGGCACGTCGACCACAAAACCGGCGAGGAGCACCTCTTCCGCCGGCCGTAAATTCAACCGCTAGCTTTCCTGTACATCAATCGGTGGTTGTAGACTAGCTAGGTGGCCATGGTATTGGTCATGGTGTCCAGATTCTTTGAATCTGCCGGCATGTTTAAGCTAAGAGGGAGGGAAACTGCGGTGAGCCATCGTGTAAATAAATAAAAATAACCCGCCAACTGGCTGGTTTTCTAGCTCCAATGTGAATGATCTTCTTCTTGCTGCTCTAGAAGAGTTCCTTTGATGTGATACTGAATCATCCATCCATGTTGATGATTTCCTAAGTTCAACATCGTAGTTCATCGTTTGCTTTAAGTGTGTTCTTTGTGTTGAACTTAGTGAAAACATCTTCAAAACGTAGTATAATCGATCTAACTAGAAGGTGCCGCGCCACTCTTTATTCATAGTGCCGACAACGCAAGGG